AAAAAATAATAATTCTTTTATAAACATATTATATAATATATTGAATTAAAATATATACTAATTAATATCCTATAGTAATTACATTAAACTGTGTAGGAGACAACAAAAAATTGTGGGATGGAAAATGTGAATATCATAGTAGGTCTTTTATGCATAAACAAATAAATAAAAGAGAATGTTGTAGTATTTGTACTTTTTTTTTTTAATGTTGACGGCATAATGGGAGATAACTTCTCTCTCATCCCTTGTCCTATCTTACTTGTATGCAGGGGCGGAAGCAGAAATTTTTTTTATGGGGGGCAAAATACTAAAATTTTCAAAGTTCAAGGGGGATTAGATAATTTTTCATATACTAATTTACAAAATTTTCAAATTTAAGAGGCCCTCACACCTCTCACCCCTGGCTCCGCCACTGCTTGTATGTTATATGATTCAAAAAGTTTTTATTTTCAACAAAAAAAAATTATTATTAAACTATTTAAATCATTGATAATATTTGTACAATTTGTTTTGTGTAGTTTATATTATTTTTAATCAATAACGAAGGGATGACCCCAAAATAAATTTTTCTGTAAATATAACATTTTAAAATGACAAACATTTAAACGCGATGATAACCTAACCCAATAGTTGGTCAGAAAGGACCAAACCCAATCAGATGTAATATATATGAGTATTTGCTCGTTTTACTTTTAAAAAGTTAAAAGGAAAAAAAATAAAAATTATCTTGATATATGTTTTAAAAATATGATAGTTTAATCTTTTTCAATAAAAATTTATTAAAACAATGTAATTTTAAGATAATTTTTCTTTTAATTTTTCTTTTAATTTTTAAAAAGTAAGATTGATAAATACTTTTTATATATATATATGTATAAATTTTTTTTATGGACCAATAATCAATGTATTAATTAATAATTAATTCTCCGTTACTCACATGGATTGGAGAAAGAATATCGTATACCGGCACTCATATCATGATTTTCGTTTTACACGTGGCGTTCGAATGACCTGCAATACAAAACTGCCTCCATTCATAAAAAAAAAAAAAAAAATTTAACTTGTTGGTACCTTGAGGATATAATAAATATGAATAATAATAAATAAAATTTAAATTTAAATTTAAATTTAATGATATGATATAAATTATATTATTTAAAATATCAAAAGGTAAATATTATACTATTTAATTATTAATTCTTTTTATTTTTTTAAAATTGTGATATTATATATAAATTAATTTAATAATATGACTTAAATTACATTATTAATTCTAAATTTTTATTTTAAATATAAATTTATAATAAAAAAATATACTTATTACATTCTTAACCCACAACTTAAGAGAAAAAAAACAAAAAAAAAAAAGGCAATTACAAGTACTTTTAAATTCTTTCTAAAGCCTTAATTAAGGAGGAGAGGATTGGCTGAGGCTTGATTGCAGGACCCCGAAGTCGGTAAACTTCCACAAAGGCAAGTGGTGATCTGCAACAGTCATGCCATGATTAGTTCTCAACTTTTTTGGTAGTTTCATCTTATTGAAGCTAAGTCATTCCAATTTATGAAATTTTTTTAATTAAATATTTAAAAAAAATTAAATCTGCATTAATAAAATATTAACAACAAATTTCTTTATTAACTGAAACACCTCTCTCTCTCTCTCTCTGCTAGACTCTTTTTTTTTTTTTCCATATTCGATGGAGTTTAAAGTTTTTGATGGAGTGAAAGCTTTATTTTATATTTTTATCATTGGGAATTGAGGGAATTAGATAACGTATAATTTTGGTTACCAATCTTAATTAAGGCATATTTTGTTTAGTAGAGGGAGAGTAGTTGCTAGTAATTTTATTTATATCGTTATAGAATAAGTATTTAGTAAATTTATTTATTTTAAAATTATTATAAAATAAATATTTGATAGAATTTTTGTTTAATAATTTAGAATTAGCAAATAACTGTTAGAATTGAAATTATTGATAAATTAAGAAAACTATTTAAAGTAATTTTTTGTATTAAATTGTTAGTAAATTAAATTTTTTTAACTTTTATTAACAAATTTATCTTTTTAAATTTTTTATTAGAATCTTTAATTAGTACCTTTATAATTAGTCTTCACTTCATTCATTTTTCTTTAATAAGATTAATGATTTGTACGTAATCTTGTATAAATCTTGCAGGATGACTTGGTTTTGGGACGTTGCTTCTTCCGCTACATCTTCTTAATTAACAGGCCAGCACCAGATTATTATATTTTTATTTTTTTATATAAATTTATCATCAAAAAATTATATTAGCTTAATAAATAAATTTTTTAATTAGATTAAATGATTAAAATTTTATTTTTTATTTAAGAATAA